GCATGGTGTTTGCTAGGGAATGTCCCATGTGTACTTGAGAAGAATATGTGTTCTGCTATTGTTGGATGGAGTCTTCTGTATGTATGTGTTGGGTCCAGTTGGTCTGTAGTGTTGTTCAAGTCCTTTGTTTCATTATTGATCTTCTGTCTCATTGTTCTATACATTATTGGAAGTTCTTTTTTTTTTTTTTGAGTTGGAGTCTCACTCTATCACCCAGACTGGAGTGCAGTGGCCGCTCCCGGCCACCGCAGCCTTGACCTGCTGGGCTCTGGCGATCCTTCTGCCTCAGCCTTCCAAGTAGCTGGAGCTACAGGTGCGCGCTACCACACCTGGCTAATTTTTGATTTATTGTAGAGATGAGGTCTCACCAAGTTGCCCAGGCGGGTCTCGAACCCGCAGGCTTAGGCAATCCACTCACCTCAGCCTCCCAAGGCACGGGATTTCAGGCTGAGCCACCGAGCCCGGCTTAACAAAAAAGAATTGCCATCATTAATAAAAACAGACAACATGCTGGAGAGGATGTGGAGAAGAGGGAATGCTACACTGTTGATGGGAATGCAAACTAGTTCAACCTCTATGAAAAGCAGTGTGGTGATTTCAAAAAGAATAGAAATTGACCTTGTATATGACCCAGCAATCTCCCTATTGGGAATATGCCTGGAAGAACTCAAGTCATTGTACAAAAAAGTTATCTGCACATGCATGTTTATTGCAGCACTATTCAAAATAGCACAAACATGGAACCAGTCATGCTGCCGATCAAAACTGAACTGGATTAAAAAAATGTACATATGCACAATGGGACATTATGTAGTCATAATATGGAACCAACCATGCTGCCCATCAAAACTGGACTGGATTAAAAAAATGTACATATGCACGATGGAACATTATGCAGCCATAAAGATGGACAAACATATGGACTTTGCAGCAACTTGGATGGATTTAGAGACTATCATACTCAGTGATCTATCACAGAAACAAAGAAGAGTACCACATGTTCTCACTCATAAGCAGACCCTGAATGTTTACCATTATACTATAAGAAAAAGAGTGGCAGTAGTGGGATACTGCCGGGGTGGGTGGGTGGGGTATACAACATCAATAAGGGTACCTGATCTCAAGCCAGGCAAAGTAGGAACCAAAGGGGGGGCCCAAACTTTACCTGTACAATGTTCACTTGTATACCTAATCCTGAATTGTACCACACATCTTTAAAATAAAATATAAAACATTAAATAAATAAGGAAATATTGAATTAAAACAAACAAAAAAAGTAAGTTGGTTCTTGAAGTCTCTCATGATTTTTGTAGAGTTCCCTTCAGTTCTGTCAATGTTTGCTTTATATATTTAGGAGCTCTAATTTTTGGCATATAGACTTATAATTGTTATATCTTATTGGCGAATTGACCCTTTCATCATTGTATAATGTGCTTTTTTGTCTATGGTAGCAGTTTTTTGTTTCAAAATGTGTTTGTCTGATATTAGTATAGCCACTCCTGTTCTCTTTTGGATACCCCTTGCATGGGAAATTATTTTACATCCTTTGTTTTCGGCCTATGTGTGTTCTTAGTTCCAAAATGAGTGTCTTTTAAACAGCATATAGTTGGTTGGGTCCTGTTTTTTAATTGTATGTGTGTGTTGGTAATTTCTTCATTCTTTCATAACTTGTTCTAATTTCCTTCCCTTCTACCTTTATGTTTAGATGATTTTTGTTTTGTTAGGGACATGTTTTGATTCTCTTCTCATTTCCTTTTGCATATATTCTGTAGCTATTTTCTTTGCTTATTTACCTTGGGAATGTCATAAAACTTCCTAGGAGGATAACAGTCTGTTTAAACTGGTAATAACTTCAAATGTTTACAAAAACTAGTCCTTACAGCTCTGACCTCCCACTTTATTTTACTGATGACATAGTTACATGTTTGTATAATATTTACCCATTAACATAGTGTCTTATTTCATTTTCTGTTGCTTGTAAAAGAGTACCTGAGACTGAGTAATTTATAAAGAAAAGTTTCTTTCGTTACTTTTTTTTTTTTTAAGTCAGAGTCTCACTCTGTTGCCCAGGCTAGAGTGCAGTGGCATGTTCACAGCCACTGCAGCCTTGACCTTCTGGGCTCAGGTGATCCTTCCACCTCAGTCTTCAGCTGAGACTATAGGTGTGTGCCACTATACCCGGTTTATTTTTTTATTTTTAATTTTTTTATTGTAGAGACGAGGTCTTGCCAAGTTGCCCAGGCTGGTTTCAAACCCTGGGGCTCGGGCAATCATCTCATCTATGCCTCCCAAAGTGCTGGGATTATAGACATGAGCTACTGTGCCCGGCTCTTATAGTTTTATAATAAGATAGCCTCGAAAATATTTAAAATTAGGTATATGCAAATTAAAATTGTTATATCTTCCAAGTAAAGTAATAATTTTGTCATTATGTATTTATTATTCTTTATTCCTCATAGACGTTTTTATTTTCTTCTCAGTATTTGGTTTGCAATACACAGTGGTTCTTACCTGCAGCCATTTTGACCCCCAGAGATATTTGGCTATATCTTAGTGACATTTTTCATTGTCACTCCTGTGGGGTTCTGGGATGCTACTGGAACACCAGGGATGGTGTTAAACATCCTACAGTGCACAGGACAACCTCTCACAACAAAGTATTATCTGGCCTCACATGTCAATAGTGCCGATGTTGAGAAACCCTGGTCTAACATTAATTTGGTGCAAGAGAGATAAAAGAAAAAAAGGAATCACATCCATTCAAAAAAGGGGAAGATTTTCAAAAGTAAAATAGGTAGTTTTGAGTCAAGAATAGGTGAAAAAGATCCACTGGGTAACCTGAGATGTGAAACAGTTGTGTGTGTGTGTGTGTGTGTGTGTGTGTGTGTGTGTGTGTGTGTGTGCGCGCGCACGTGCATGTGCACGCATATGTGCATGTGTGTGTAGGTAGGTAGATAATATACTTTAGTATTTTCCTGGCATATTTTTTATACTTTTATTTTTAAACTTTGCTTTTTTATTACCTAAGTGTATTTGTTATAACATGTAGCTTACAAATAACTTATAGCTTTTAAAATTTGGTCTGACAATCTTTTCTCTAAACTATTAGTTTGTGATTACTTAACTACTGCTTCTTTAGTTTTTTATTTGTTATTTAGCCCTAATGATTTAAAAAAATTCTTTTGAGCTCAATTTTGCATATAAAAGAGTTCTTGTTGATTTTATTAAGTTTGTTTCTAGACCTTTGGCAATTTGTAGCAGATTAGTTGCTCTGCCTTTTACCAGACCACAGAAATTGATAAAACTGGTCTGAATATTCTTGGATTCTCTTACCTTCTGTGAAAGAGTGAAAAGCCAAAATAGAGTAACTTTAGTCAGAATGGCAGCCATTTTATCATTGTTTAACTTTGTCATGCTATTTCAGTAGCTTACTCCAATCTATCATATTAAACAAGAAACAAAACCAGTTTCCTGGAGGTAAGTTACTGAAAATTGTCTTGCAACCCTCCCAAGCATGCTTTCTACTCATTATCCTTTTATTCTAAGTATTTGTCTTCCAGCCATAAAGGACCAAGCTGATCTAATCTATTTTGAATCAGCCCTTTGTGACCAATGTGACACAGACCACCATCCAAGCACCATGGAGACAGCTCCTGTGCTTACCTGCCCCCACTAAAAGAAAAGCTTTAAAAGCTTTCAATCTCAAACGTTCACTGCAAAACATTCCTTAAGCATCTAGCCCCCTCTCTAATCTTTGGAGAGGTGAATTCATCCTTTTTCTCTGATCTATCTTCTAAACTTTTTTTCTGACCTACTCTTTGTGCAATTCTTTGCATCTTTCCCGCAGCACTGACTCACTGACCTAAAATTCTAGCTGGTGTAGATCCTTTAGTAGTTTTCAGATATTGCTTCTTTTCCATTTCTGCTGTGCTTTATTCTAAAACTTCTTTTAAAAAAGGTTTCTGTTTTAGACCTTTAAATTACTTCCATTTCTCTTCAGGTTTCTTCCATGGTTTTTTTTTTTTTTTTTAAATTTAATCCTTTGTGTGCCTCTATTAGACTGTAAGTTATAGCTCACTTATGTCTCTAATTATGTTTTATCTAGTGTTTATCTCAACCTTTTTCATTACTTTTACATTTGGGATTATTAAATTTTTGTTAGCATTCATCTTGTTTCATGGCTGCCTTTTACTTTTATGACATCTTCCTTTTTTTTGAATCTGTATCTTTATCTCTTTGAAGATCTGAGATATTCTTATTCTAAAGTCCTTTGGAAGTACAGTTTGTAATTTTATTTTTAGAAAGAGTGTTAATTTTGTTTTCTCTTTATGTGCACCCTTCTCTACCTGCTGTTTTGGTTGTTGTCTCTTCTTTACCCCTTGTGGCTGCTGCTTTAGAAGTAAGTCTTATATTGGAAATTCTGAATTCTTATTCTGCAGGGATGTTGGGAACAATCTCAAGAAATAGTTCCTGAACCAGTGGGTGGCTTGACCCAGGTCACTTTTGTTTTATTGCTTCTGATCTGTCCATTTGCATTGCTAGAGCTTTGGGCTATGGTAACAGCTTTTATTGTCATCTCTCTTAGCGGGAGAGTCCTGCTCTAACTCCTTACTTCACAAAATGATCCTGACTTTTGTTCCGACTTCCCATGCTATGAGTTAATTTTGGTCCCTGTTATTAGGGTTAGTTTCTTAGCTGTTTCCAGCAGCGAGATTTAAAAATACAACTTGCTTGTTTCTTTTAACTCTGTGGGTATAGGAGGTTAAAGAACTGCTGTGGTTTATTGGAAAGTATATTGGGTCTTAACTGGATATCCTTAAGTATCTGTTTCCTTATTTTTAAGTGAGGATAATAGCTGTGTGGTGGTTGTGAAGTAATGTTATATATGTGAAAGTGCTTTATAAACTGAAAAGTATTATCTTAAATATTAGGATTTTTTGATTGTTGTACAATCATAGTGGTTGATTATTACTCTAGTTAAGTCTGCTTTTAATTTTCAGGTTCCATTGACCTGTCATGTATGGCCACAGGCATTATATCAGGGCAATAGTAGAACACAAATTTCCGATATTAATGTGGACTCTTTGGAAACAACAGTTCAGTGGGGTTCAGGGGATGATCAGGTATGTCTTCTGTAACTATTCAAATTATTCTTTAGAATAACAGCATAGGAAATTTTGATTTAGCTCTGAAAAATGAAAATAAGCAAATAAATTTTGTATTTTTCTGATAGATCTTTGTAACCTTATGTTACAAAGAACAGCAGTTCATTTTTTGGGGAGAGGTCTCAGGACTCTGTCCTTCAAAAGTATTCTTTTTTTATTTTAAAGATATGGTGGTGCAATTCAGTATTAGGTAGTTAAGTGGTCATCATACAGGTAAAGTTTGGGCTTCCCATTTGTCTCCACTTTGCCTGATTTGAGATCTGTACCCTAATTGATGTTATGTGTCCCTTTTCACTGGCAGCGTCCTGCTACTGCCAAACTCTTTCTTATAGTATTATGATAAATGTTCAGGGTCCGGTTATGAGTAAGAACATGTGGTATCAGTTTTTTCTGTGATAGATCACTGAATATGATAGACTCTAAATCCACCTAAGTTGCTGTGAAGTCTATAGTTTTGTCCTTCTTTATGGCTGTGTAATATTCCATCATGTATATGTATCACATTAAAAAAAATTCCAGTCCACTTTTCATGGGCAGCACGGTTGGTTCCATGTTGCTATAGTGGATAATGCTGCAATAAACATGCGATTGCAAGTATCCTTATTATAGAATGATTTGAGTTCCTGTGGGTGTATTCCCAGAAGGGAAGCATTGCTAGGTCGATTTTTAGATCTTTTAGGAATTGCCACACTGTTTTCCACAGAGGTTGTATTAGTTTACACTCCCACTAACATCCTCTCCAGCATCTGTTCCCTTTTCCTTGCATCCCTTTTCCCTGCATCCTCTCCAGCATCTGTTGTTTTTTTTTGAGTTATTGATGATGACCATTCTGACTGGAGTTAGGTGGTATCTCAATGTAGTGGTACTTCAGTTAATTTTCATTTCTTTGATGATTAATGAGGCTGAACATTTTTTCATGTATCTGTTGGCTGCCTGTATGTCTTCTTTTGAGAAGTGTTTATTCATATCTTTTGACCACTTTTTGATAGGGCTGTTTGTTTTTTTCCTTTCCGCATGTTTGAGTTCCATATAGATTCTGGATGTTAGGCCTTTGCCAGAAAAAGTTGGCAAATGTTTTCCCCCATTCTATGGGCTGTCTCCCAGCTCTCTTGATGGTCTCTTGCTTTGCAGAGGCTTTTCAGTTTGATGAGGTCCCACTTGTCTGTCTTTTGGCAGGGTTGTTTGGGGTTTTGATTAGGAATTGTTTGCCTGTTCCAGTTTCCATAAGAGTGTCTCCTGTGTTTTCTAAGATTCTTACAGTTTGAGGTTTTACATTTAGGTCTTTGATCCATTTAGAGTTGGTTTTTGTGTATGGTGATAGGGGTCCTGTTTCAGTCTTCTGCATTTGGTCAACCAGTTTTCCCAGCACCATTTACTGAATAGGTTCTCCTTGCTCTGGGGGTTGTTGGTGGAGGCTTTGTTGAAAATGAGTTGGTGGAGAAATTGTGGTTTTGCTTCTGTACTCTGTATCCTGTTTCATTGGTCTATATGCCTGTTCTTGTACCAGTACCAGGCTGTTTTGATTATTGTAGACTTATAGCAATGTTTTAAGTCTGGAAATGTGATATACCTCCCACTTTATTTTTTTTGCTAAGGATTGTTTTGACTATTCGTGGTCTTTTATGTTTTTATATAAATTTCTGTGTTGTCGTTTCCAGATTTGAGAAGAATGATGTTGGTAATTTAATGGGTATTGGCGCTGAATCTGTAGACTGCCTTTGGTAGTATGGCCATCTTAACAATGTTAATTCTTCCAACCCATGGGCATGGAAATATTTTTCCATTTGTTTGTATCTTCTTTGATTTCTTTGAGTAGTGTTTTGTAGTTTTTGTTGTAAAGGTCTTTCACTTTTCTGGCTAGGAAGATGTTGAGGCATTTTATTTTTTGTGTGGCTACTATTAATGGGATTGTGCTTTTTATTTGGTTCTCTGCTTATTTGTTGTGGGTGTATAACAATGCAGTGATCTTTTTTTGCCCCCAAAGTTTTAAAACAGTTTATTAGTGAGAAGAAGAGAAGAAAAAAGGAATATTAATGGCAGAAAGACCTGCCAAAGGCAAGTTTCTTAAAAAAAGAAAAACTGCCATGACTGTCTTTTGCATGTTGATTTTGTACCGAGACTTTGCCAGAGTCCTTTATCAGTGCATGTAGGTTTTTGCCAAATTTTCTTGCATTTTCAAGGTATAAGATCATATTGTCAGCAAAGAGGGATAGCTTAACTTTCTCTTTTCCTATTTGGATATGCTTTATTTCCTTCTCTTGTTTGCTTGCTCTGTCTAGGACTTCCAACACTATGTTGAACAGGAGGGATGAGAGTGGGCAGCCTTATCTTGTTCTGGTTTTCAGGGGGAAATGTTTCCAATTTCTGTCTGTTTAGCAGTATGTTGGCTGTGCGTTTCTTGTAGATGGCTCTTACTATTTTACAGTATGTTCTCTCTGTGCGTAGGTGTTCAAGGGTTTTTATCAAGAAGAGAATGCTGGCTTTTATTGAAAGCTTTTCCTGAGTCTCATGATATAATCATGTTCTTGTTTTTACATCTTTTCATGTATTTAATTACGTTTATGGTCTTTTAGATGTTGAACCATTCCTGCGTCCTGGGAATGAAACCAACTTGGTCATGGTAGATGATTTTTGAGTTGTGTTGTTGGATCTCATTTGCTAGAATCTTATTGAGAATTTTTGCATCTATGTTCACCAAGGATATTGACCTGTAGTTAATCTTTCTTTGTTGGATCTTTACCAGGTTTTGGTAGCGTTGTGATGTTAGCTTCATAAAATGATTTGGGGAGAGTTCTGTGTTTCTTGATTGCTTGGAATATTTTCAATAGGATTGATATCAGCTCCTCCTTGTATGTTTGTAGAATTCCACTGGAAAGCTTTCTGGTCCAGGTCTTTTTTTTTGTAGGTAGTTTTCTTATGGTGAAGTCAGTTTTCCTAATCATCACTGGCCTATTTAGGGTCTTCATTTCTTCTTGTTTCAATCTTGGAGGGTTGTGTGATATCAGAAAGGTCTTCATTTCATCTAGGTTTTCAAGTTTGTTTCCATACAGGTGTGCATAGTAATCTCTAATCTTTTGTATTTCTTTTGGGGTCAGTTGTGACTTGATCTTTTTCACTTCTGATTGTGTTTATTTGGGCTTTTTCTTGGTCAGTCTGGCTAGGGGTCCATCGATCTTGTTTATCTTTTCAAAGAACCAACTTTTTGTTTCGTAGATTTATTTTTACTATGATTTTTTTTGTCTTCTATGTCCTGAATTTGGGTTTTTAATTTGGTGATCTGGATTTTTCTGCTTAATTTACTTTTTGTTGGTCTTGCCTTTCCAGCTCCCTTAGGCTGTTAGCTTGTGATCATTTCATTTTCTCGATGTGTTCATTAGAGTTATGAATTCCCCTCTTAGTGATGTGCTTTCATGGCATCCCAGAGGTTTTGGTAAGATGTTTCTTTGTTTGCATTTGTTTCCAAAATTTTTAAATTTCTGTTTTGATTTCTGTGTTGACACACAGGAGTTGTTCAGTATCATGCTGTTTATTGTCCATGACTTTGTGGGTTTTGGGGGAATTTTGTTGTTGGTATTTATTTGTATTTCACTGTGGTCTGAGAAGGTGCGTGGCAGTATTTTGATCTTATGAAATTTGTTTATGTTTGATATGTGACTGAGTCTGTGGTGGATCTTGAAGGATATACCATGTGGTCATGAGTAGAATGTATATTCTGTGGTTGTTGGGTGGAGTGTTCTGTAGGTATGTATTAAGTCCATTTAGAGAAGCATCAAGTTGAAGTTCTGGATCTTCTTGTTAATTTTTTTGCCTTGATGATCTATTTAGGATATTAGTGGAGTATCTGAGTCACCAGCTATTATAGTGTTAGAGTTCATATCTTTTTTTAGTTTACTTAGTAGCTGTTTTATAAAAGCTGGTGCTCCTGTGTTGGTTGCATATATGTTTAGGATGGTTATTTCTTATTGGTGGATTGAACCTTTTATCATTATGCAGTGTCCTTCTGTATCTTTTTAAATTTTTGATAATTTAAGGGTTGTTTTGTCTGATAGTAAGATTTCTCTCTTCTTTTACCTGAAAATTTGTTTTCCATCCTCTTAACTTTGAGTCTGTGAGGTCATTTGTATTGTGATGTGTTTCTTGGAGGCAGCTAATGGTTGGGTTGTGGTCCCCTCCCCCCTCCCAATTTTCTATTCTGTGTCCTTTCAGTGGTGCATTTATTCCATTAATGTACAGGCTGATTATTGAGATGTGAGAGTTTATTGTCATGAGGGTCTTATACATTTCTTTTTTGTTGTTGCTCTTTGTTTCTTTGTTGATTTTCTTTTGGTTTTTGCATTGATGTGTGTGTGTTTTCAGTTTTCAGTCGTGATACATGCTGTGTTGAGTCTCCGTTTTCCTGTGTTCTTGGGAAAAGCGTGTTTGTTCCTCTTTTCCTTTCTTTTGTGCTTAGTACCTTCCTACGTGTCTTTTGTAGAGCTGATCCAGAGGCAGCATAAATTCTTATGGGTTGAATGTCTGGGAAGGATTTTAATTCTCCATTACTAATGAAACTTGCCTTAACTGGGTAGGAAATTCTTGGTTGATTTTCTACCAAGAAAAAAAAATTATTTTTCCTTGAGAAATTTGAAGATTGGATCCCAGTCTCTTCTAGCCTGTAGTGTTTCTGTAGATAAGTGTGCTGCTATTCTAATTTGTCTTCCCTGGTAGGTAGTCTGACATTTTTCTTGCTGCCTTGAAGACTTTGTCTTTCATAACTACTTTGTACAAGTGAATTACTAGGAGTTGGTCTTCTCGTTTGATTCCTTTCAGTGTTTCTCTGAATCTCTTGTGTTTGGTTAGTTATGTCTCTTACATGATGAGGGAAATTTTCTTGAATAATCTCGTGAAATGTTTGTTCCAAGGTGGTTTCTGTCTCCCTGTCTCAGGAATGCCGATCAGGTGTAAGTTTGACCTCTTAA